TCGCCCGCGCCCGCCACCTCACTCTCATCCGCAATTGCGGGGTGCTACGTATTGATCAAGGTTCGAGTGTCGAGGTTCGCGGTTCACTGGTTCGAGGTTCGAGAAGGGCGGAGAGGGGGAGAAGGGGGGGGATCGAGGTCCGAAGGGAGGAATGAGGAGGGAGAGGAGGAGGAGAATGAGGATCGGGCGGGCGTCTTGTGTGTACGGGACGACCGTGGAGGAGCGCAAGAGCGCAAGAGGAGGAGGAGGAGGAGGAGGAGGAGGAGGAGGAGGAGGAGGAGGAGGAGGAGGAGGAGGAGGAGGAGGAGGAGGAGGAGGAGGAGGAGGAGGAGGAGGAGGAGGAGGAGGAGGAGGAGGAAGGGGGAGGCGGAGGAGGAGGAGGAGGGGAGGAGGAGGAGGAGGAGGAGGAGGAGGAGGAGGAGGAGGAGGAGGAGGAGGAGGAGGAGGAGGAGGAGGAGGAGGAGGACGGAGGAGGAGGAGGAGGAGGAGGAGGAGGAGGAGGAGGAGGAGGGAGGAGGAGGAGGAGGAGGAGGAGGAGGAGGAGGAGGAGGAGGAGGAGGGAGGAGGAGGAGGAGGGGGAGGAGGAGGAGGAGGAGGGAGGAGGAGGAGGAGGAGGAGGAGGAGGGGAGGCAGGAGGAGGAGGAGGGAGAGGAGGAGGCGGAGGAGGGGGGAGGCGGAGGAGGAGGAGGAGGAGGAGGAGGAGGAGGAGGAGGAGGAGGAGGAGGGAGGAGGAGGAGGAGGAGGAGGAGGAAGAGGAGGGAGGAGGAGGAGGAGGAGGAGAAGGAGGAGGAGGAGAAGGAGGAGGAGGAGAGGAGGGAATGATGAGCACGGGGGTGAGGGAGAGGGGGACTCAGTCTTGTGCCCTCGGGGGGGGTGCACCTTGTGATGGGGGCGCACCTCCCCGCGCCCAGTTATCCGCCCCACGCAACGGTGGACCACCTCGACCACCTCGAGCAGTACAGGGTGTGCCATCCCATCGGTCACCGCATCTGCTGCTGCCAGCTTAGTCGCGTCGATTGCTGTCCCGCAGCTGCAGCAGCCGCTGGGCTGGCGCAGGTGCAGGCGCCGCCGCCGCGGCGGCTGCCATCGTGGCCACCCAGGCCTCCGACGTGATTTCGTCGCAGCGTGGGCCCCCCAGAGGTTTGGACCGCTTTTTCGTCCCAGGTGGCTCTTCGGCGGCCCCAGGGGCCCGGTCTGCCAAGGCCGATTGCGGGAGAAGTGGCCGATGCAGCCACGCGGTGAGGGCTGCGAGCGCCAAGGTCGGCCCAGCCCACGAGGAGCCCCCGCCGGGGGCCTGTGCGCCCCGCCGTGTGTGCCGCAGGGGCTGGGCGGACTCGCCGCCGTCCGTTTGTTGTTTGCCTGTTTTTGCTTCACCCGGGCAATCAGTCAGTCAGCGCCCCCGACGACTGCGAGCGCCCGCGCGGATTGCCCCTGCCGGGCTGCGACGGACAGTGGTTCTGCTTCCGCCGCCCTCGCGCTCGCCCTCGAGCTCGTCGCCGTGAGCCTCCTCGGGAGGCCTCGCTCGCCGGCCCGGTGCCGGTGCCCGCCGCTCGGCAGCCGCTGGACGGCGCCCATGGCGCTGCCCCCTGGCCTGCCCGGCACTGCGCCTCGGCGTCGCCTCTCGAGCTCGTCGTCAGAGGGCCCCTCGGGGGCCCATCCCTCGAGCTCGGCGTCGTGGCCCTCCTCGGCGGACCCGCCCTCGCGCCCTGCGGCCCGCGCCGATGCCAGCCGCCCCCTCGGGCTGCAGCTTGGGCATCGGCACGCCCGCGCGGCCGCCCTCGAGGCCCTCGGCCCGCAGGTTTCCGACGCCCTCGTGCCTCGTGCCAGCCTCGGCCGCCCTGATGTTCTCAATGCCGCTGCCCGGCGCCTCGGGCTTGCACCACCACCGCGACAACGAGGCGGAGCCCTGCCGAGCCCGTCGTCTTCACTGCGGCTACCCTCGCTGCGGCGCCGAGACGCAGCCTCGCGTCCAGCTGCTGGGCGTTCTCTGCGCGCTGCCCCTCCTTGGCCGAAGCGCGTGCCGCCTCGGGGAGCCTTGTCGCGGCCGCGCGTAGGGCTTCCACTGCGCTCAGAGAACTTGGTTGTGCCAGTGCTGCTCATCCCGCTGACCCTCGTCCATCGCGGCGCTTGCCGTCCAGCGCCTGCCCTTTGCGCGCACGTCGGCTTCGCCTGCCGCTGCCGCACACTGGTGGTGCATCGCGGGTTGGGTCAGCTCCCAGGCGTGCCGGGGATGCCAGCCCCGTGAGGGAGCCTCCCGCCGTCGCCGTTGTCCGCCTCCGCGTGCCCGTCTGGTGCCTCCGCCGCGGGGAGCAACCCGTGGGGCCGCACGAAGCAGTCTGATGTTGACCATGACGATGCTGGTGGTGGTTATTATGGGGATGACGATGATGGTGCTGGGGATGTGGATATTGATGTTGATGTTGATGCTGCTGCGCTTCCTCATGATGCTGATGCTGCTGCTGCTGCTGCTGCTGATGATGATGATGATGATGATGATGACGATGACGATACTGATGACGGCGATGATGGTGGTGGTGCTGCTGCTGCTGATGATGATGATGATGGTGATGCTGATGGTGATGGGGATGGGGATGGGGGTGGGGATGAGGATGAGGATGATGATGGGGATGAGGATGATACCGATGATGATGATGATGATGATGATGATGATGATGATGATGATGATGATGATGATGATGATGATGCTGATGCTGATGCTGATGCTGATGATGATGATGATGATGATGATGATGATGACTGGTGCTGCTGATGGTAATGATGATGCTGATGCTGATGCTGATGCTGCTGCTGATGGTAGGATGATTATGCTGCTTCTGATGATGATGGTGTTGATGATGCTGCTGATGATGATGCTGATGGTTCTGCTGATGATGACGATGATGATGACACTGATACTGATGTTGCTGATGCTGATGATACTGAGGATGCTGATTCTGACGATTCTGCGGATGATGCTGCAGATGACGATGATGATGATGATGATGATGATGATGATGATGATGATGATGATGATGCTGACGGTGCTGATGATGATGATGATGATGATGATGATGATGATGATGGTGTTGCTGCTGCTGATGATGATGATACTGCTGATGATGAATCTGATGATGCTGATGACGATGACGATGACGATGATGATGATGATGATGATGATGCTGATGATGATGATGTTGATGATGATGCTGATGTTGATGATGATGATGGCGATGCCAGTCATGACGGCGACGTTGATGTTTCAGGTGACACGGACGACGGTCATGTCGTGATGCTTGTGGTGGTGGTGAATATGATGATGATGATGATGATGATGATGATGATGATGATGATGATGATGATGATGATGATGATGATGATGATGATGATGATGCTTACGCGTTATGTTAGGTGAGTGCTAGAGGATGAGGAGTAGTAGTAATAGTAGTAGTAGTAGTAGTAGTAGGAGGAGGAGGAGGAGGAGGAGGAGGCGCATGATGATGATGCTGCTGCTGCTGATGATGATGATGATGATGATGATGATGCTGATGATGATGATGATGATGCTGATGATGAGCATGATGGTGCTGCTGATGATGATGGCGATGATGATGACGACGAGGAGGAGGAGGAAGGGTAGGAGGAATAGAAGGAGGATGATGAGGAGGAGGTGGATGCGGAGGAGGAGGAGGAGAAGGAGGAGGAGGAGGAGGAGGAGGAGGAGGAGGAGGAATAGGAGGAGAGTCGAAGAGGATAAGGATGATAAGGACGGTTAGGATGATAAGGATGATAAGGATGAAGATGAGGAACGGGAACGAGGGGGAGGATGAGCATGATAATCCTCAGATTGTCATGCCGTCTGCTTTTCACTTGGATGTTGCCAGAACTGATGCTGGATTGAGAAAGAAATTCAGACTGGCGTGCGCAGCGGACGAGGACAACAGCGACCTCGCATGCCCCCAGAGACTCGAGACACTCCAGAGTCTGAGTCCGCTCGGGGCTTCCAGCCTCTGGAGCCCGTTTTCGGGGCACGGGATCGTCAGGGACGACTCGGGATGAAACGCCAGCTCCCAGGGAAAGGGCTCGAGAGGTCAGGGGCCTTCGAGGGCTTCGAAAATGTCGACCCGCCGATGGGGGGGGGAGGAGGGGGAGGGGGGGGAAGGGGGGAGGAGAAGGGGGGAGGAGAAGTGGGGAATCGAGGGGGGGAAGAGAAGGGGGAGATGAGAGGGGGGAAGGAGGGGAGGAGTAGGGGGGAGCAGGGGGGCAGGGGGGGAGGCGGCGCTCATCCTGGGCCCTGGCCAACCCTCTCCTGAGCTCCCTGCCCCTAGCGGCCTCTCCCCAGCGGTCGCAGGGCGCCAACTGCGCTTTGCTACACCTGCGCCCAGCCCGGCCGGGACCGTCCTGGGCTCAGAGGTTCGGGGGCGGAAAAGAGAGGGGTGATGACTAGGGGGGGGGATATCATGGCGGGGGCCATGATATCTCCCCAGATTTCATGGCGCCTCTTCTTATTCCATTACGTCCCTGGCCCCCCGCTGGGCCGCGCACATGCCGCCGGTCATGATTTGCACCCCCCCCTCTTGGACCCCCCCTCTTGGCCGCTCCCGAGAGGTCGGCAAATGCGCTTATGCGCCTTCTTGGCCAACCAGGAGGGCGTACACACCAGGCGGTTGCTTTTTGACCCCCTGGCGATGTGAAGGGCGTGACCGTGGGGGAGGTGTGGGGGGAAGGGGGGGGCGGGGGGATCGGTCGCCCCACGATCCGCGCTGGCGCCGCCTGGGAGTGCCAAGAACGGCTGATTCCCGGGGGGCGCCGGCGCGAAGCGTGACGTGACCAGGGGAGGGGGGGGGGGAGGAGCCCGGGATGGGCGGGCCCGACCACGGGCGTGGTCGCGAATAACAAGCAAGGGATTCCAGTCCTGGGCCCAGGTCCTGGCCAGGATCGGCGCACTCGGGCATGCGGTTGGCTCCCTCCAGCAGCCGTCCCCCCGCCGCGGCCACCCGGAGGAGGAGGTCGCCTCGCTCGAGAAGGAGCTGGCCGCGCTCGCCAAGTCTCAGCAGGAGAGCGCGTGCTGCCTCCCGCTGCTCGGCCGGGCCCTTCTGGTGCTCTGCCCGGCTGCGCGTGCTGGCGCACAGCTCCCTGTCGCCGCTGCGTAAGGGCGGCGAGCAGCAGCGCCGCGTCGCGGCGCGGTCGCTGCTCCCCGACCCTCCTGTGACCGTTGGGTCTTGCGCTGCTATCCGCAGCGCCGCGAGTGCCGCCTCGCCTCACCACCTTCGCGCCCTCTGTTCCCTTTTCTGCTTCTTCCCAGCCTAAGATGTGTTGAGATCCTTGGCATCGCTCGGACGTGTGCATTTTTCCTTCGGCGAGGACCATCGAGGAGCATCCTTGATCACTTGGCGAAAAAACCACGCACGAAACCGAAACAACCAAAGGGAATGGACGTCCGAGCGATGGCCAGGATCGACCCTCCTGTTCTGTCGGGGCCCTTGCAGCGCTGCGCATCTGCCCCCTCCTGCTCCCCCCCTCCCTCTCGCCCTCCCTTCCGGCCGTCGCCCATCTCAACGCACACCCTGCTGCCTTGGCATCGCTCGGACGTGTGCATTTTTCCTGGATCATTTCGCGAAAAAGCCACGCGCGAAACCGAACAAAACACAGGGAATGGACGTCCGAGCGATGGCCAGCTGCGGGTCGTGCCCACGAAGGGAGCTCCCACGAAGGGAGCCCCGCCTGCGTGCGGGCGCCCGCGTGCGGGCCCGCGTCCACTGCGGCACACCTAGGGGGCCACGTGCGAACCCTGCCCCCCCCTCCCCCTCAGAAATCGTAGGGGGGGGCAGGGGTAGGGTTTGCACGTGGCCCCCTAACACCCCGCACGCGGATCGCGCCCCCGCAGGGAGCCCCGCGCACGGCCCCGGCGGGGGCGCGCCGTCGTGCGGGCCCACGCCCGATGCGGCACACCCCTGACAGGGAGCTCCGCCCACGTGCCCAGGGCAGGGATCTCTTAGAGGAGGAGGAGGAGGCAGAAGAGGAGGACGAGGAGGAGGACGAGGAGGAGGAGGAGGAGGAGGAGGAGGAGGAGGAGGAGGAGGAGGAGGAGGAGGAGGATGGGAGGTGGATATCATGGTGTGGGCCATGATATTTCCTCAGATCTCATGGCGCCTCTTCTTATCTCATTACGTCCCTGGCCCCCCCGCTGGGCCGCGCGCATGCCGCCGGTCATGATTTGCACCCCCCCCCCCTCTTGGACACCCCCCCCTTGGCCGCTCCCGAGCCCAGGGCAGGGATCTCTCTCCTGGGCAGGGGGCAGAACGCAAGCCGCTGTTTTTGTCCAGGAGCGCTCCTTCCGCCTCAGCAACTTGTCCATGGAGGGCGCCCCCTCCCCAGAGCCAGCACTCGCGCAGAGGGCCAGGCCGACGAGCGGCTGCCTGCAGCCTCGACGAGAAGACAACCTCGTGCTCAGGCTTGCTGCTACACAGCTGGAGTTGCGGAGCGGGAGTGCCTCCTCCTCCTCCTCCTCCTCCTCCTCCTCCTCCCGCACGCGGACCCGCGCCCACTTCGGCGCGCTTCTGCGCACTGCTCGTGCGTCCACAGCAGCGGCTGCTGCGCGCCTGCTCCGCAGCACCCCATCCGCCCCGGCCCGGGTTCCTTTCTCCCGCGGCGCGCAGTGCAGGAGAGGGGCATGCCAGCTGCAGAGGCTGCCTTCCTGTCGCCCTCCCTCCCTCTCCCCCTCCCTTTCTTGCTCCTCGGCTCCTCGCTCTCCTGTCCGTTTCTTGTCCTTGCCTGGCCCGTTGTTTTGCCTGCCCCGCAGTCCGAATAAGAGTTGCGGCGCTGCCTGTTGGACGTGTGGAGCAACCGACAGTTCATGTCGATGTCTCGGTGGCCACAGCACCGCAACAAAAACAAGGGATGGGCCCTCCGCAAGGATCATCCTGGCACACCAGAGGCCTCCCGGCGAGTCCGGGTCGGGTCGGGCTGTTTTGGGGCCGTTCGGGGCAGTTCTGGGCCGTGTTGGGGCAATTTTTGGCGGGTGGGGGTCTTGGGGTCGGGAGAGGGTTGCCTGGGAGGCCCTCTCTGAGGCTCCTTCGGGACTGAGCTGTCCGTGGCCGCTTGTGGCTGATTTGGTCAGAGAAGGAACAGGTTTCGATACCGCTGGCCCTTGCTCGTCGCCACCGCTGCATTCGCTTCGAAATCTTTGTCAGAACGCACGCTGGGAGCGGCCCGGGGAGTAGCGGTATCGAGGCATCGATCTTTTTGGGGGTTTCCAGATTTGGGGGTCGGTAGGTCACACGAGTCATTTTTTGGGGGCCTGGGAGGCGTGCTGCAACGGCTCCAAAAGGAACGCGCGCGCGCGTGTGTTGGCCACGGGCCGCGCTGCACCAGGGCTGCGGCAGCTTCCGCGGGCACGCGCGCGCGCTGCTAGAGGGGCCGCGCGATGCTTCAGAGCCTGGAGCTCACCACCCACCAAACCACCCCAACCCAACCCGAAGGCCCAAATTTATCCTCGATTTCCAGTGGTGGGGGGTCGGGGAGCATTGAAAAAACACATGGGATCCGTACCCCCCCCCCCCCAACCCGAAATTCGGGTCAAATTCGGGTCTTCGGGTTGGGTTGGGGTGGTCTGGTAGGTAGTCAGGAGCCTCCAGGCAACGGTTCAGAACCACCCGCTCGCGCACTTCAGGGCCTCCAAGGGCCTCGTCCACGGCCGCTCGGCTGAGGGGAAACCGAGATGCTCAAAGCGAACAGTTCCTCAACGGTTCGGGAGCAAGAGTGCTCGCAACCGATGTTCGGGCCAGCCCTAGTGCGGCCGATGTCTTTGCTCGCAGCGTCACGGATATCAAGCGTGTCCGCGGCTTGGTCGGTTCGGCCGCGTCGCGTGTCGGCCGCGTGTGGGTCGGTTTTGTTCGGCTGTTGCGTCGTTGCGGCGTCCATGCGCCCTTCCAGGCTGCCTGCGGCCTGTCGGCGTCGGTCGGCTGAGGTTCCGCTGTCTGGTGCGGCCAGTTTTCGTTTGTGCCATCGTCGTGGGCGGCCTCTGCGATGCGAGCGTTTTTTTTCTGTTTCGCCGTGGCACGGGTATGGTCCGTTCCACTGCCTTCTGCCGTCTTATCCTCTCCATGCCCACTCGCACGCGCTGAGCGGACCGTTTTGGCTCTTCGGCGGAGGGGATCCGGGGTGTAGGGAAGAGGGGGTGGAAGGGGGGGATAGGCTATCCCCCCCTGCCCCGGCTCCCCGCTATTAGCGGGGAGCCGGGGCAGGCAGGATGGGGGGAAAGCAGCTGCAATATGGTGAGGTCAGAAGGGAGGAGGGGGAGGCGGGAAGAGGGGGAGAGGAGGCTGGAGGATGGGATAGTGGGCGTGGGCTCTCTCTTGAGCTCCCTGGCTTCTGATCGCTGGGGATTGAGGCTGGTCGTTCTGTGCCGTGTTCGTCGGAGGGCTGATTATGCGCAGCGGAAGGGTGTTATGTGAAACCTGCATCGGCTAGTTCGCTCGCCTCTGAGCCTCACGCTCAGCACCCACTCTAGTGTGCGCGCGGAGTTCGTAGGTGCCCGCTACGTGCGCCGCTGGCTTAGCTTTGAGTGCTGGCTCAATTCGCCAATCTCGGCCCTCTCCTTGCCTCTCCCCCTCTCCCGCTTCCCCCCCCTGCCTCCCCTCTCTCCCCCTGCGGCCAGGGCCCTGCACGTGTCATGCCTCCTCCCTGCCGACTGCTCCGTTCGCACCGGTCTGCGCCACCTGCCCACCCGCTTCTCAACTGGGTGGGGCCGAGGCAGCTGGAGTGTGCTCGTGGTAGAAGTGGTGCGGCGGATTTCGTGAGCACTCTCTGTACTTGCACGAGCGTTAACGCCCGAGTCCCCTGTCCTATGGCCTCATGCGTCGGCTTCCAGACAGGGCCTCGCTTTTTCGGCGCATCCCGCCCTCGCCTGGGAGAATTACGGCTGAGATGACACGGCGGCGGGTGCGCTGGTGAAGCCGCCGAGGGCCGGCGGAATGCCGGCGGAAGGCGGAAGCAGACGCCAGTCAGGAGGAAAAGAAACACACAGACACAATTAATCCTCGATGCCCTAGAAACTATGGGAAAATATGCGGAATATTTTTATTTCTGTGTATTTATTTGTGTCCTGGGGACCCTTCAGCCAGGCACCAACATTTTTTGGTTCAGGGTTGTCTTAGTTGGCCGTATGCAGGACGAGGCACGATGACGATCCCCGCACGAGCCCATTTTCGGGCCGAACGAAAGGGGGGGTTTGGGAAAGGGGGAGTTACGAAATTTGCTGCATGCAGCTGGTTTCGGCCCCACTGAGGGGCCCATTCCTCGATACATAGCCGCCTCCGGCGCCAGGAGGCGCCAGGAAAATCAGCTACGTGAGCTGATTCTCAAACTCCCCCTTTGCTATCCCCCCCTTTCGCCCGACCCGACATTTGCTGGCATTGCAAAGTCTCTCCGCAGACGATGGACAAGATCCGCGAGGACGAGAAGGCCTCCGAGCTCGCCTCTTCCGGTGGTCAGCGGACTGATTCTGGCCTCTGATCAGCACTGCCAGCTCATCAGCAAGACCCTCTCGATAAGAGCGCGCAGGTGCCATCGGCAGGTGCCAGAGTTCTCCTCGAGACGATCTTGCCGAGGGCGTCAGCGTGGACTGTCAATGTGGGACCTCACACCTCCAGCTCACAAGAACTGTTCTAACAACCCTGTTTGGTTTGTCCGCAGGTTCTTTGAACATCTCTGGATGCGAGACTACTGCTTTAGTCGCCGGCGAGCCCGTGGGGGAGTGAGAAGGCGAAGGCCTTCTCAGGAGGCTCGGACGTTCCCCGGCCTTCTGCGACGTTATTCACGCCCTCCCCGCAGACGCAGCAAACTTCTCAGAAGGCGCGGGGGCTTTGAGAAGTCTCGCCGCCTTCTGAGAAGGCCTACTCCTTCTCACTTTCCCTCTATCGCTCGCCGCCGATTTAGGACAGCGGCTCTTGTGCTCTGAGCACACTGGTTTTGCGCTCAGAACCTCCTCCTTGTTCTCAGAGCGTGGCGTGGTAGACTGAATGGCGGGACGGTCCGTCTCTGCTCACGTCGGGGCGGGGGAATGCGAGGAAGTGCGGAGTTGCACGATCTGTTTGCTCTCGGGCAGTTTTCGGCGGCGAGCAAGGAGGGACGTGAGAAGGAAAAGGACTTCTCAGAAGGCGGCGGGACTTCTCGGACACCCTCGCGCTTTCTGAGAAGCGTTCTGCGTCTTCGGGGGGAAGGCTTGGAACATTTCTCTGAAGGCCGGGGGACTTCCGAGCCTTCTGAGAATCCGAGGCGGGAATGTATACATGACCACCGCCTGGATGGTCAGTTTTCGTAGCCTCGGCAGGCGGTGGATATGGACATACTCGGGCCCGAAAACAGCCAGGCTGCCTCGACCTTTCATGGGGGTACCGGGGTTATTTTTCCTTTGTTCCCTACCTAGGCTCTGCCTAGAAGGGTTCTTACCCTGTATGCTTAAAGGGCCGGGCAGTGCTCCCCTCCCCGGGCGGTTCCCCCAGGATCCGCCCGCGGTTCCCCCAGTTAGGTCTCCTTAGTTTAGCGTTGCTTATCTCATCTTAGCTTAGCTTATTTCATCTGAGCTTAGCTAATCTTAGCTCAGGTTTATCTTAGCTTCGCCTACCTTCATCTCAGCTTCGTTGAGCTTTAGCATAGCAGAGCACAGCATAGCATAGCATAGCGTAGCATAGCGCTGCACAGCACATCATAGCATAGCCCAGCATAGCATAGCATAGCGCAGCATATCATAGCATAGCATAGCATAGCGCAGCACAACACAGCACAGCAAAGCACAGCGCAGCATAACATAGCATAGCAAAGCATAGCATAACATAGCATAGCATAGCATAGCAGCAAAGCAAAGACAAAGCAACATCAGCGACAGCAAAGCAACACACACGCAACGCAACGCAAAGCACAGCTACAGCAACACCAACGCATAGCATAGCATAGCACAGCATAGCATAGCATAGCATAGCGCAGCATAGCATAGCATATCATAGCATAGCATAGCATATCATAGCATATCACAACATAGCAAACCATATCATAGCATAGCATAGCATAGCATAGCATATCATAGCATATCATAGCATGGCATATCATGGCATAGCATAGCATAGCGCAGCATAGCATGGCATAGCATAGCATGGCATAGCATAGCAACTAATGCTGCTTTCCTAGGGGCTCCAACTTCTAGGTAGGGTCGCACTGGGGCAATTTTTAAAGGGTTTCCCCGTCCTGGGCCTTGGAGGCCGTCGCCTCCGACCCCCCATGGGAAGACGGGGCGGCCGGGGAGGTCCAAAATAGTCCAGGAGGGCGCGGGCCCCGAGTCGCCGAACGACCGCTCCAGGACGCCCAAGATAGGCCCAAGACGGCCCGAGAGGCCCCCCAAGGCACTCCACGACGTTTCACGACGCCTCTCCAGAGCGCTCCAAGAGGCCGAAATCGTCAATTTTACGCAGGTTTTCGAACGATTTTGGCCTTCCAGCCTTTTCGGCTGTCCGACGTTCCAAGACGGCTCAATAGGCCCCCAAGAGCGCCCCAAGACGGCCCCAGAGGGCCCCAAGACGGCCCCAGAGTCGCCCAAGACAGCCCAACAGAGCCCCAAGACGGCCCCAAGATGCGCCCGAGAGGGGGACCACGACTCCAAAATTCGACCCTCCTGCTTGAAGAGTGCCCCAGGAGGCCCCAAGGAGCCCCCAAGAGGCCCCAGGAGGCCCCCAAGAGGAACCCAGGAGGCCCAAACGAGGCCTAAAGAAGCCACAAAACAGCCCCGAGGAGGCCGAACAACGGTCCCAAAACGGCTACCCAGAAGCTGCGAAACTGCCTTCACGACGTCCCCGACAGGCCAACCACGAGATCCAAACCAACACCCATGAGGCCTCTGACCCACCACCCAGGGCACGGTGGCGGGATCAGTGACAGCACTTGTACACAGCATGTTCCGGCGGGAGCCTTCCAGAACACGCTGCAGGAGGAGGAGGAGGAGGAGGAAGATCAGGAGTAGAGAGAGCTGGAGTGGGAGGAGGAGGAGGGGGACGAAGAGGAGGAAGAGGCCTCCAAGACAGCTCCAAGATAGCCGAAGAGGCTTCCAAGAGGGCCCTGGGCGGCCCACGAGGGCCCCAAGGCGGTGCCTGAAGCGCCCAAGACGGCCCGAGAGGGCCCCAAGACGGCCCCAAGAGAGGCCCAAGAAGGGAAACACGAATCGAGAATCCGAGCTTTCTACCCCGAGAGGTTCTCGGGAAGTCCCAAGAGGCCCCCAATCGGATCCAAGAGGCCTGGGGCCTGCTAGAACCTGAGCGCGCGCGAAGCGCGCGCGATGGTTCTAGTATATATATATATATATATATATCCACATCCACCGCCCGCTGGGGCACCAGGACGTCGGTCCCCAGGCGGTGGATATGGTTAAATCCCCGCCTCGCAGTGAAGGCCTTCTCCTTCTCACTCCCCCCTGGAGGCTCGCCGCCGAAGTCTCGCTGCCGGCCGAAGTCTCGTCAAACAACACCCATACCGCAGCCCGCACCTCCCGTGGGTGGGCTGTTCGTTCGTGGGGTGTGTCCAGGGTGGGGCTGTCTCTTCGCGTCGTGGGGGTGTTCGGGGTGGGGAGTGCAGGGAAGCCTCAAAGACAAAATCCCCCCCCGGGCTCACCTCCGCAGTCTCATCGCACAGGGCCCCGCGGAGGAGGAGGAGGAGGTGCAAGGCCGGAGACCCGAGGCGGGCTGGGCCGGCGACGTCCTGGTCCGAGCTCTCGCCGAGGGTCAGCACGAACGAAATCGGTACAGAAAGATTGGTACACTGCCCAACAGCAGTTCCTATTCATTTGAGGCAGCGGCCGCTGTTGGTTTGGGACAGCATTTGTGTTGTTGGGCATTGTACCCATTTCTTCCGTACCCATTGCGGGCGTCCAAAGAGGGGGGCGAGGTGCTGTGTGCGGTGTATCGGCGCTGGGCGTGCAGACATCCCACCGAGTGCCATATTCAGGTTCAGGTTTTGGAGCCTCGGATCCCCCAACGGGCAACACACGACCACGACTCATGATCTTCAGTGCCCCAGTCCCCCACTTCCTGTCTGTGAGTCTTCGAGCGAGCTTCCTCTGCTGCCGTGGCGAGCTTCTGCACCCTCGTCTTTTCTCTAGATGCGAGCACTGATGTCGGTAGAAAGGACCATAACCGGCACGCTTCCGAGCAGCGCCTAGCTGACGTATTGCAGCTTCAGCGGCGCGGATCGTATCAGGTCGAAGTATGACGTCAGGATGCGATCGTGTCCTCAGTCATGGGATCTCCATTGGCGTCAAGAGGTTGCAGCTCCTCCGATGGAAGGTGGTGAGGGGTGTGGATGACGAGGAGAAGGAATGATGATGATGAGGAGGAGGAGGAAAAGGAGCACGAGGAGAAGAAGGAAGAGGAGGAGGAGGAGGAGGAGGAGGAGGAGGAGGAGGAGGAGGAGGAGGAGGTTCGGCGAGGTTCGGCGATGACGACGATTCACGCAGGCAAGCTGGGTGAAAAGCCAATACAACAACAATAAAGTTAATAGAGTCTATGGTGCGAGACAGCGTAGCAACGAAGTGCTCTAGGCGGCCCACCCTTTCGGCCAGGGCGGCCAAAGCAGCAACGCTGCGCGCACCGCAGCCACTATTAGTAGCTACGGCAGGTGCCCAAAGCATCAGCGGCGTACGGGCGTGGGTCGCCCGCTGTTGGCGAGTCGCTCCCCGTTGGGGCCCTTGCCCTGTAACAGGTAGCGGCGTTTGTAGAATCGGCTGGTGCCAGGTACAGGAAGTCCTATACATGGCTTAGCGATTAGATGCGCGCGCGTCTCGCATCGCGCAGCGCATTGGGCACAGAAAACAAGAGGCCCGTTGCGCCATTGTCTATGAGAACTATGGGCAGCACGCACTCCCATCGGAAGCCCCTGACACGGTTGTGCCAAGAGGCCTCTGCGCGTGTGTCGATTTCTACCGCAGGTGTCGCAGTAGTATTTCATGCCACGCTTTATTATAGTGTGCCCTCTCGTGTCAATCAGCAGTGGTCTTGCACGAGTGGGCCCTTCATAGGGAACAGGGTCAGCGTCGGCGAAGTCGCACCTCGCGCAGCGCTTGAGTATCCTCAGGGCCATGCGCAGTGTGAAAACGGCAGAGCACTCTCTTGCGTGGCGAAGCGCTTCGGCATACCCATTTTCGGGATGCATCAAAGCGCCCTGTTTGGCAAACTCGTCAGCTGCTTGATTGCCCAACCACATTGCCAGAGGTATCGCATCACGAATTCTCTGACTATCGCTGCGGTGGCTGGGTATCCAGATCACATCAATGCCTTCACGCCCAACGTCGTGCACCAGGCGCCAGAATTCACGCCAGAGTTCCCCAATGTGATTTCGAACGTGAGCACCTGAACCATCGCCACGATCCCATGCTTTCTTGAGTTCCAAGTAGTCGGTGACTATGACGATGTTTCTCGGCCCCT